AACAACAACAAAAAAACTATTTTGCATAATGATGATGTAGGTGTGATCAAGGCATTCTGATACCATTTCAGTCAAGCCATCTATGCATACAATTTGATGCATACTTTCAATAAATCCAATGTATGCACCACATAGAACGCACTGCAACTGCCTCTGCAACACAATGCTGCAAGGCAAACGCAGCGTTCCATCGGAAATGAATGTACTTCTGGTGTACCAAAAACGCAATGACACTGTCGGTGTGATCAAGGCTGTCGGTGTGATGGAGGCGTTATGTGTAATGTAATGTAAAGCCTTGATCACACCGATAGTGTACTTGCGCAAAATAGGAAGCAGCATCATCTGGATATGTGTGCAACAAAAGTTCAACATTCACCTTCTGCTACCATTTCTGTCAAGTTGTCTACACATACAGTTTGATACATACGTTCGGTAAATTCAACGTATGTACCACACAGAAAGCACTGCAACTGCCTTGTCAAAGACTCCAGCCACCCTAGTCATAGACTGTTCTCTCTGCTACCGCACAGCAAGCGGTACTGGAGCGCCAAGTCTAGGCCCAAAAGGCTTCTTAACAGCTTCTACCCCCAAGCCATAAGACTCCTGAACAGCTAATCATGCCCCCCCCCCCCCCCCCCCTCTTTTACGCTGCTGCTGCTCTGTTTATTATCTATGCATAGTCACTTTAATTCTACCCACATGTACATATTACCTCGACTAACTGCTGCCCCCGCACATTGACTCTGTACCAGTACCCCCTGTTTTTAGCCTCCCTACTGTTATTTTATTTTACTGCTGCTCTTTAATTATTTGCTATTTTTATTTTTTTACTTATCTATTCTTTACTTAACACTTTTTTTTATTTTTCTTAAAACTGCATTGTGGTTAAGGGATTGTAAGTAAGCATTTCACTGTAAGGTCTACACCTGTTGTATTCGGCGCATGTGGCAAATAACATTTGATTTGATTTGAAAGCAATGCTGCAAGGCAAACGCAGCGTTCCATTGGAAATAAATGTACCTCTTGTGTACCAAAAATGTGAGTACGATGTCAGTGTGATCGAGGCGTAACTGAGAGTCATGATCAAGGGCTAGCTTGCAGGCAGCTCTTGATTTGAAAACAGTGTACATTTGAGAATTGCCCAGAATATACAATTCATTGTTATGGATAGAATGCAGAGTCCTTATCAATTGTGTCTAAAAATTGATTATATTTATATTTTATGTGGTGGGGTCACCCACATGACATTGAAAATATATTTGATAGAATTGCATTAATTGCATTAGAGTTTAATTATGGATATTGGAGGTAAATTAAATTCATTTTGAAATTGATACTATAATTGGATTGCTGTAACTGAGGACAAAAAATGAAATGAGGCTATGGGGAATGTCCACATTTGCACAAATCTGTCATCGTTTTTTGCTTTTATCTTTAATAAATGTTAATTGTTGTTGTTGTTTAAAAGTGGCTTTGATGATATCATGCACATTTCTCAAAAGTCAGCTCGTGGTGAGTCGATTTCTCTGGTCTTGTTCCATGACTCTCAAACATTCCACACGCAACAGGGTGGGGAGAGACTGTTGCTGCGTGTTAGTAGCTAGATGCAACAACTAGCGAAGTGCTGGAACCGTACGGTCTCTGGAACAACTGGTCCCCACAAAGGTTAGAATATGGGCATCGTAGCCCTTGAAACGAAAACAAGAGCCACTTTTCCCCGAAACTGGCAGTTGTTGACTACGCATAGGATGAAGACTGGTTTTGATTTAATGGTGTAATACGTGAGTTATTTGGAGTTTAACATGTGAGAGATGGTGGGTTTATTGAGATCCTCGTTGTCCAGGAGAACAAGATGGCAGCATTGCAGGCAAACCGAGCATGGTGTGGGTACTTGTTAACTCGTTAGCATGTTCAGAGAAGCACTGGATTCTGTAATTTACTATTGTTTATAAAGGTATGTGCGCTACAATAATATCAATCCAAATTAAAAAAGGTATGCATTTCGTCGCTAGTTAGATACCTAGCTAATAGTTGGTTTTACGTTAGATAGTTAGTTAGCAAATATGCGTAGCAAGCTGCTAGCCACTAACGATAGCAAAAAGTTTGTTCGTCAACCTGTGACTTTTTGATTCGTCCTTTGGTTTGTAGCTACATTTCGATAATTGTTTTGGGGGAATTTAGCTAATTATTGCCATCCCCATTCTCCTACCTATACATAGTTAAAGTTAGTTAGCTAACGAGCTAATCCTTAATTCAGCTACCAATCTTGGCTGTCTAGCTAACTAATTTACAACTTGAATTTACCAGCTAACTGGTTAGCCAACGTTAATGTTTAATAGCTAACTACATTTTGTGGACTAGCCACATTACCAACGATACTGTGACAGAACTGCACACTGTCAGCGAGTGAAGGGGGGAAACGAGAAGTCCCGTGTCCTCCCTATACCATTTATGACATGGCTGACAAGATAACGTTAAACGCTTAGCTAGCTACATTCACCAGCCAGATGGCTTATAATAACCATCATGTTTTATCACTCAGTCATATAGCTAGATAAAACAGTAGCTATATAATTTACATACTAGTGGATTTCTAACTTGACACTACTAGTTACTTACTTGAAGCTACGTAGTCAATAGGTGTTTGATCAACCACCCCATACCCCTCAGTCTACTCTGCACCTCTCCCATTTGTTGATGATTTACAAGTGGCCTCTTACAGACGGCAGCCTTCTAATCCAGAAATGGCGAGGAGTGTAATTCAACACTGGGCCAGGGTCTCCTACCATTGCTGGGATGTGGTGTAGCTGGCTCTGTTTTGGTACTTATTGTGGTAGCTAGCTACTAAGTGTCTGACAAGTATATGAAAATAATGATAAAGAAATAAGACTATGTTCTATCCACAATATATTTATATAATCTCAGGGTACCCCGGAGTGTAAACCTTTTATGGGGGGTTGTTTTGTTTTGCACGGATGACATGCTTTAGTTAAATGTGTTATACGTCTAGCCATCCACTTATGTTTTATCTTTTGTTTTCAATAATACCTCTATTAGGAACTGAAGTAATGTAGATCCATTTTGATACAGAAGACGCCCATTCGCCTGTCTGAACTTGGCATATTTGTACCCTATACCCAGTATGAAAATGTATGCACTCACTAACTGTAAGTCGCTCTGGATAAGAGCGTCTGCTAAATTACTTAAATATATGGTGTAACTAGTTAGCCTGGCTGATGTGACTCACAGCGAGGGAGTTGTAAGTGCAGTATTTGCACAGAAATGTGCTCCTGAATGTGCTTATCTTTGATTGGTTCTCTCAATGTTTTTTTTTTTATTTCCTGGGGGTTGAGACCTCACATCACTTGGATTTGAAAATCCAGTTGTATTGGGCAGCACTCAGTGGTTTTCCATGTGAGTGTTTGAGTGAGAAAGACACAGGAGAAATAATCAGTAAAAAAGCACATCCCTTTCATTATCGGCGCATCGTGCTGACATCAAAATAGCCTTTCCAGACATGTCAGGAGGACTGAGTTAGGTGTTAGTAACTCTAGTAGTAACTAGTGCCATGTCAGCATTAAACCATCCCATACTTTTAAGCAAACACTCACTCTGATACAATCAGCAGCACAGCTAAACCTGTCATATTTCCCAACTTTGCTGGTATTCCAACAGAGACAAGATGACATATAAAAGGTTTATGCTGAATGGTTAGCTTTTGACAGGCAGGCAGATTGTCTGTCTGTGTTTGCTTGTGGTCTATAGTGTCACAGTTTGCTGGTTGAATAAAGCCACTCTTATCTACTGTAGTTCCCTTTTTGCTTTCTCTGCTTTTCCTGCCTGAGTGACAGACACAGCATAGCTCGCCCACAAAGTGATGCGATTCCCCCATCATTACATTTGGTTTTAGTTTTTTTGCTGAATGCCCCGGTATAGCTTGCTATTGAACAGATAGCATGCCTGCCATTCCCTCCATTTCTATCTGATCTAACTGAAATGTTTAAGTGCATCCTCCCTAACATGTTTTGGTGGAAGTTGTATTGAGAAGGCCTAACAATCACCCACATAACAACGTGATGGGCTAAATTGCATGAAACAGCCTGACATGCTGACTAGAACGGGCGTGCGAGTGCGTCCGCCATCGCGCGCATGTTGATTTTTGTCCACCCACACCAGACGCAATCAGGACACGCAGGTTGAAATATCAAAACAAACTGAACCAACTATATTAATTTGGGGACAGGTCAAAGCATTAAACATTTATAGCAATTTAGCTAGCTTGCTGTTGCTAGCTAATTTGTCCTGGGATATAAACATTGGGTTGCTATTTTACCTGAAATGCACAAGGTCCTCTACTCCAACAATTTTAATCCCCAGATAAAAGAGTTAGTTTCTGGGAATCTCTCCTCCTTCAGGCTTCTTCTTTGGACTTTATATGGCGGTTGGCAACCAACTTTATGGTGCATTACCACCACCAACTGGACTGGAGTGTGGACCTCAGTTCATCTTTCAATCACCCACGTGGGTATATGCTCCTAAAAACCAATGAGGAGATGGGAGAGGTGGGACTTGCAGCGCGTCAAGCGTCACAAATAGACCCAAATTCTATTTTAGCACCTGGCTATGCAGACGCTCGTTGACGCGCAGTTTGGATTAAATGATTGAATAACATATGTGTACATTTATTTTGCAACGCGAATTTGGGCGGCAGGTAGCTTAGTGGGTAAGAGCGTTGTGCCATTAACCGAAAGGTCGCTGGTTCTAATCCCCGAGCCGACTAGGTGAAAAATCTGTTGATGTGCCCTTGAGCAAGGCACTTAACCCTAATTGCTCCTGTAAGTCGCTCTGGATAAGAGCGTCTGCTAAATGACCAAAAAAAAAAAAAAACGCGAGCGGTGTGGTCACTATGTAAAGATTAATTTACGTTCATTATTGTCAGAAAAAGCAAGAGATTAAGTAGTGGTTGAAGTAAACTAATCATTCCCTTTTCTCTCTTACAGGTATGGCCTCACACATTTTGGTCTACCCGCCAAACGTTTATCAAACCCAAACAAGTGCCTTTTACAGTGTGAAGAAACCCAGAGTTGAGCTCAACAGCTGTGTTTTTCATGATAGGACCCTGCAGACCTATATAATTGGAGTAAACCTTGGCATTGCTAAGCCTACCAATATCATCCCTTCAATTAAGACGAAAGTGTATTGTAGACCCCTGAGTGGGCAGGACTTATCCTCGCAGGCAGCTACATCCCTGAAAGAAGTACACAGTGAGTTGCTCCAAAAAACGACCCAGACCCAGGGCCCCCCCTGTCAAGGCAAGGGTCGAGAGAAGCTGGGACTGCAGTGGGACAGCAGTGTAGCTACAGGTGCAGTCAGACTGGGTAGAGGGGACTGTGGCCAGAGAAGCAGCAGTGAAGAAGGTGAGGAGATAGAAGAGCACAGTGGCGGTGTGAACTAATTGGACAGCTTCCTGCGATGTGGGCTGAACTGTAAGGGTGAGTGGAGAACAGTGGGAAAGCCATGCAGATAGTAGAGGACATTTCCATGATACCTGCCATGTTGCAAACTAACGTAGGGAACAAGAACATGGTGGGGGGAGTGCCCCCCAAACAGAGTGGTGGTGGGACTGGGGCTCATAATGCAGCAGGGGATGGGGACTACCAGTTGGTGCAGCACGAGGTCTTGTGCTCCATGAAGAACACTTATGAGGTGCTGGAGTTCCTGGGTCGTGGCACCTTTGGACAGGTGGTGAAGTGTTGGAAGCGAGGCACAGGGGAGGTCGTGGCTATCAAGATCCTAAAGAACCACCCATCGTACGCGAGGCAGGGCCAGATTGAGGTGGGCATCCTTGCCCGTCTGAGTGGGGAGAATGCTGATGAGCACAACCTGGTGCGGGCCTTCGAGTGCTTCCAGCACCGCAGCCACACGTGCCTGGTGTTTGAGATGCTGGAGCAAAATCTCTATGACTTCCTCAAGCAGAACAAGTTCAGCCCGCTGCCATTGAAGGTGATCAGACCGGTCTTACAGCAGGTGGCCACTGCGCTGAAGAAGCTCAAGAGCCTGGGCCTGATCCACGCTGACCTGAAGCCGGAGAACATTATGCTGGTGGACCCGGTGCGACAGCCTTACCGGGTGAAAGTCATCGACTTTGGCTCGGCCAGCCACGTGTCCAAAGCCGTGTGCTCCACGTACCTGCAGTCACGCTACTACAGGTAGGTTGGGCCTGCCCGTTTACTAATAGGGTGTTGTTCATGACTTTATCTTCCTAGAAACATATTTAAAAAGTTAAAATCAGAAATCAGGACAACCCCAGTAAGGCTACTAAGTAAGCACTAATCAGTTCGAGGGGCAGCATTTCACAAGGGTTAGCATCTTTTCCAGAGTTTTTAGATATTAGGTCGTTGTTATTATGTTATGTAATGTGAACAAATGGCCCTGTAATAATCTGCAGATTTTTCAGAGGGAGCTTGACAGCATGCAAAGACTTCCTCTGCACTGCCTCTGTTAACCATCAGACAGTCACACCCAAATGAGCCTCGATTACGTAACCTGCTGAAGGAACAGAAATGTTTACGTGAACAAGAATGCCTTTTATGTCTTGCATGTTTCTGGATGAGACAAATGGACAATTCTCAGGAAGTATAATCCTTTTGGTCACTACCCTATGTATACGCAGGCATATGCTTCCACTTGAACAATTATGTGAAATGTTTAAGCAGTGTTGCATAACATACAGCCGTGAGTGACCTGTCCTGGTCTATGAGGTGCTTACAAGGCCTGTTTCCTCTCATGCAGGGCTCTATGCTGACCTTTTTTACAAGGAGCACGTGTGTGCCTAAGTTGAAAAATGTAGTCGCACACAAATAGATTTTGAAGCAAATATTTTAGATATTAATGATAGAATCCTTCATTTTTCTAGGCGCACTGGTGCTCCTAAATTAAAATTCCAGGTTGCACAGCAAAATATTTAGGCGCATATGCAAGTAAAATGGCGCACTGTACAGCCCTGTCATGGCGAGGCTGCATGTAGCCAGCGAGGTCAGTCAGGCGGGGGCAAGAATGTTGTGTGTAAATGTGCATTTAGAGACCGGAAAAAAGGCTTTCAGACATTCTTCTGTTTAGTGTACATTTGTGTACAGCACATGGCACCCAGAAGTATTTTTAGAGCTCTGTCTGCTTCATGGTATTGGGAACAACATCCACGCTTCTTTAAAAATATATATAATAATTTATCAATCCTACAAGCAATACAAGACTTATTATTATTATTATTATTATTATGGGAGATTATAATATGGTTTAAAATACCTCAATGGACTGTAAAGGAAATCAAACTATCACCCTTATGTACTTAAGGAAATCCCGAATATCATGGATATATTGGAACTGGTGGTTATATATGGAGGCTTAAATATCCTGACCTAGTGAGATATACATGGCGGAGGCTAAATATCCTGACCTAGTGAGATATACATGGCGGAGGCTAAATATCCTGACCTAGTGAGATATACATGGCGGAGGCTAAATATCCTGACCTAGTGAGATATACATGGCGGAGGCTTAAATATCCTGACCTAGTGAGATATACATGGCGGAGGCTTAAATATCCTGACCTAGTGAGATATACATGGCGGAGGCTTAAATATCCTGACCTAGTGAGATATACATGGCGGAGGCTAAATATCCTGACCTAGTGAGATATACATGGCGGAGGCTAAATATCCTGACCTAGTGAGATATACATGGCGGAGGCTTAAATATCCTGACCTAGTGAGATATACATGGAGGAGGCTTAAATATCCTGACCTAGTGAGATATACATGGAGGAGGCTTAAATATCCTGACCTAGTGAGATATACATGGCGGAGGCTTAAATATCCTGACCTAGTGAGATATACATGGCGGAGGCTTAAATATCCTGACCTAGTGAGATATACATGGCGGAGGCTTAGATATCCTGACCTAGTGAGATATACATGGCGGAGGCTTAAATATCCTGACCTAGTGAGATATACATGGAGGAGGCTTAAATATCCTGACCTAGTGAGATATACATGGCGGAGGCTTAAATATCCTGACCTAGTGAGATATACATGGCGGAGGCTAAATATCCTGACCTAGTGAGATATACATGGCGGAGGCTAAATATCCTGACCTAGTGAGATATACATGGCGGAGGCTTAAATATCCTGACCTAGTGAGATATACATGGAGGAGGCTTAAATATCCTGACCTAGTGAGATATACATGGCGGAGGCTTAAATATCCTGACCTAGTGAGATATACATGGCGGAGGCTTAAATATCCTGACCTAGTGAGATATACATGGCGGAGGCTTAAATATCCTGACCTAGTGAGATATACATGGCGGAGGCTTAAATATCCTGACCTAGTGAGATATACATGGAGGAGGCTAAATATCCTGACCTAGTGAGATATACATGGAGGAGGCTTAAATATCCTGACCTAGTGAGATATACATGGCAGAGGCTTAAATATCCTGACCTAGTGAGATATACATGGCGGAGGCTTAAATATCCTGACCTAGTGAGATATACATGGCGGAGGCTTAAATATCCTGACCTAGTGAGATATACATGGCGGAGGCTTAAATATCCTGACCTAGTGAGATATACATGGCGGAGGCTTAAATATCCTGACCTAGTGAGATATACATGGAGGAGGCTTAAATATCCTGACCTAGTGAGATATACATGGCGGAGGCTTAAATATCCTGACCTAGTGAGATATACATGGCGGAGGCTTAAATATCCTGACCTAGTGAGATATACATGGCGGAGGCTTAAATATCCTGACCTAGTGAGATATACATGGCGGAGGCTTAAATATCCTGACCTAGTGAGATATACATGGCGGAGGCTTAAATATCCTGACCTAGTGAGATATACACGGCGGAGGCTTAAATATCCTGACCTAGTGAGATATACACGGCGGAGGCTTAAATATCCTGACCTAGTGAGATATACATGGCGGAGGCTTAAATATCCTGACCTAGTGAGATATACATGGAGGAGGCTTAAATATCCTGACCTAGTGAGATATACATGGCGGAGGCTTAAATATCCTGACCTAGTGAGATATACATGGCGGAGGCTTAAATATCCTGACCTAGTGAGATATACATGGCGGAGTCTAAATCAAGCTAGTCCTCTTGACTACTTACGTAATTCTCACTGGCACCAAAAGTTGATAGGGGACAGAATGCGGTCGGACCATCAAATAATTGGCATTTACATTACTCTTACAGAATTTCAACGTGGGCTAGGATATTGGAAATGTAATCAAAGCCTATTGGATGGCAACTTGTTTTTAACCAGGACAGAAGAATTTATAACTGACTTTTTCTGACATAATGTACAGTGCATTCGGAAAGTATTCAAACCCCTTGACTTCTTCCACATTTTGTTACGTTACAGCCTTATTCTAAAATTGATTAAATTGTTTTTTCCCGCTCGTCAATCTACACACCCCTTAATGACAAAACCAAAACAGGTTTTTAGATTTTTTTGCAAATTTATAATATAAAAAACCTGGAAATATTAAATTTACATAAGTATTCAGACCCTTTACTAAGTACTTTGTTGAAGCACCTTTGGCAGCGATTACAGCCTCGAGTCTTCTTGGGTATGACGCTACAAGCATGGCACACCTGTATTTGGGGAGTTTCTCCCATTCTTCTCTGCATATCCTCTTAAGCTCTGTCAAGTTGGATGGGGAGCATTGCTGCACAGGTATTTTCAGGTCTCTCCATAGATGTTCAATCGGGTTCAAGTCCGGACTATGGCTGGGCCACTCAAGGACATTCAGAGACTTGTCCCGAGGCCACTACTGTGTTGTCTTGGCTGTGTGCTAAGGGTTGTTGTCCTGTTGGAAGGTGAACCTTCGCCCCAGTCTGAGGTCCTGAGAGCTCAGGAGCAGGTTTTCATCAAGGATCTCTCTGTACTTTGCTCCGTTCATCTTTCCCTCGATACTGACTAGTCTCCCAGTCCCTGCAGCTGAAAAATATCCCCACAGCATGATGCTGCCACCACCATGCTTCACCATAGGGATGGTGCCAAGTTTCCAACAGACGTGACGCTTGGCATTCAGGCGAAAGAGTTCAATCTTGGTTCCATCAGACCAGAGAATCTTGATTCTCATGGTCAGAGTCCTTTAGGTGCCTTTTGGCAAACTCCAAGTGGGCTGTCATGTGCCTTTTACACAGGAGTGGCCTCCGTCTGGCCACTCTACCATAAAGGCCTGATTGGTGGAGTGCTGCAGAGATGGTTGTCCTTCTGGAAGGTTCTCCCATCTCAACAGAGGAACTCTGGTGCTCTGTCAGAGTAACCATCGGGTTCTTGGTCACCTCCCTGACCAAGGCCCTTCTCCCCCGATTGCTCAGTTTGGCCGGGCGGCCAGCTCTAGGAAGAGTCTTGGTGGTTCCAAACTTCTTTCATTTAAGAATGATGGAGGCCACTGTGTTCTTGGACTTTCAATGCTGCAGAATGTTTTTGGTACTCTTCCCCAGATCTGTGCCTCGACACAATCCTGTCTCGGAGAGCTGCGGAAAATTCCTTCGACCTCATGGCTTGATTATTGCTCTGACATGCACTGTCAACTGTGGTACCTTTATATAGACAGGTGTGTGCCTTTCCAAATCATGTCAAATCAATTGAATTTACCACAGGTGGACTCAATCAAGTTGTAGAAACATCTCAAGGATGATCAATGGAAACAGGATGCATCTGAGCTCAATTTCGAGTCTCATAGCAAAGGGTCTGAATACTTATGTCAGTAAGGTATTTCTGTCTTGTTTTTAATAAATTCAAGAAAGATCAAGTGTAATATAATACAAAAAATAAAGCGGACTGGATGGAAAATGGGGACAAATGCACCAAATAATGTTTTAATCTTCAACATGGAAATGATACCAAAATAATTTACTGAAACTTGACACCCGTTATTCACCAAGCTATATTTTGAAAGAGGAAGCAAAGTACTTTAAACATACGTTTTCATTTCAGTCTCCTCCATCTCCACTAACCGAAGTTAATTGTAAGCATTTTCCCCCTATTAATAATGTGAAACTAATGTGAATGCCAAATTACAGAGGAGGAACTTCCTAATGCAATTAAAGCCTTTAAGTCTGGGAAAACTCCAGGGCTGGATGGCATACCAGTTGCGGTATACCAAACCTTTTTTGATGTACTCAG